CAACTTGAATGTTGTACTCGTCCCATATTGCACTGGGCGCGACGTGACGGTCACCGAAAAACGAAAAATGGCGATTTATACTGAGGGTCAGCAAGGGGTATTTTCGTACGTTGTAATCAATTGTTATTATTTTTGTAATAATGTAATTTGAAAAAATAAAATACGTAAATTCGAAGACATGGGCAAGGTGTAAAATGTAATCAGCTATTTTATTCATCCGTAATTTGTACAAAGATATTATTTTATGTAAGCGTATAACACAGTTTCCACATTAAATGTCGTAATTTTTACGAAATTTCCACTTTCGATTCTGGAACTCAAATTATCAAATATATTCTAAAAATGTAAAATGTAATTATGATTTTGCTTTATTTGTCAAGTGTAAAGACCTATTTTTTACTTTTTTAAAAAAAACGTTCATCATTTATGTCCTGTAAAAACGTAAAATGCCGTTTTTATTTCCTGTAATCTGTACCAGCTACCCCCATATACTGCTAGCACGAATGACCAGCTCAGATATGCGCACACACTCAGTTACAATTTACTTACTCATCGATTTACTTAGGTAAAATAGACGTAATTCTGCATTGAAATAAGGGTAGAATATAAAAATACAATTTCCTTGGAAACGACCAAGATGATTCACTCCAGTTCATTTTCGGTTACGGTTAAAATAATCAAGCAACTATATCATATACCAATCTATATACCAACAATCATATACCAACTATACCAATCATGATCAATTATCTCGAAATATTATCAAGAAACTTTTTTTAACTTTTATCAAGCAACATCTAATTAAATTAAACAACTGATTTATTTTATTTATCGTATTTAAGATATTTGTTAAGCACCCATATCGTCATTTCCTATCAACGGGCTTTGATTCTATTTCCGGAAATGAGTGACAACACAACTCAAATATAAACACGTGCACTGAAATGAACAGGTTACTGGCGCGCTGTAACACGCATGCGCACTGGTTATATTGGTACGTACAATAACTACTGCACATGCGTTTTATATGTATATAGTGTGTACTACATATCAACATGTTTAGTTCAATATAAATCATAGTCTAATTTTGTTTGCAGTATAAAGTATCGAACAATTATGCTAAACAAATGATGTGAAAAACATATAGGTTGCACTTTAAAGGGCGGCAGTCGTCGCGCTGCGCATGTGCGACATTTATCCCACAATCCAATGCGCTATTCTAATGGAAATCACAAGTATAAGATTTGACGTGGTTTGAATTGCATTAATTACCACCGGCGACTCGATACATTCCAATCCCCTAAAATTATCTAACTAAAGCTTGGCATAGTTTCAGTTTGTATTTATTGATCTACACAACAGTAAAAATCGCCATCCTTGTTTTTATAAGACCCATATATATCGCGCATGCGTGGCGCGACAGCTACCACCCTTTAACTTTTTCACCGCCAGTCTTTCTCACCCAAATTGTTCTACACATTTGTTTTCTTATATTCTTCAATATTTCTGGAAATGAACCTTAATTTTGGAGCCAATAGACATAATTTGAGTCAATTTCAAGTTATTTGGCTATTTTAGTCCCATTCTTCTGAGAAAATTGCAGAATATAAACTGAACTATTTTATGAATTTGTGATGAAAAGAGGGAACTGGTGGTGAAAATGTTAACCGAACGAACAGAATAGCTTGTAAACGTCTCCCGATTCTCGAAGTCACTGATAAATCACATAAATTTAAATACATATATGTACAAATTAAATCGCCAATAACAAATAAACTTTGTCTTCTCCAAATTGTGATTAAAATTACTGATTTGATCCGGCTCTTTTCCGAAAATACGGACAGAGGAGTAATCACTACGCAAACAACTTGTGTACAACTTTCTTATTATTGGTGAAAAGAAGACAAACGGTGTTTTTTCGTGATGTGACTCGTATTACCACTATCCCAATGAATTCTAAATGCTTGCTTTAGATGCGACTATAAATACTAGTAATATAGTGATTATAACTATCTATCTGCAATGACGTCATAGGGTACATACTTTTGTATCTGGCAAACATTGTCGCCGGTAACATCCAACTTCTGAGCTGAGGAAAGAAACACTGTCATTGCCAGCACAGCACACCCAACGTGAATTAAACAAGACATGCTGATGACTGCGTCAAACACGGACGGCTATTAGCTCCACATTGTAGATGACAACGTATTCTGGAGTAACGATCTCCACCTCTTCCTATTTTGTGTTTTTGTAATCTGTTTTCTTGACTTTCGCATCCGCCGGAAGTCCTGTACTTGATACTGTGTAGGCCAGTTAATATGATGTGCGCATCAAGCTTATACGATGTTAAATATTGAATGTTATTGGTTTACATATTGTCAATATGCTAATGATATGCAAATGATATAATTAGTTATGGGAACATCGATAGGTTTTCATAATCAATAATATATGAAAAAAATCATGTGACTAGCTTGTTTTACTGTTTGTATTGTTTCAACGTTTCGCTCTAAAGTCGGAGCTTCTCCGGGTACAAAATGTGGAATTTAACGAAATGTTTAAATAATACAAATCGTTTAATAGCTAGACGTAGTGACGTGTTTTGTTATAACCACCGCACTACAAAACATTAGTGTTGATAAACATTGATTTCCCACAATCCAATGCGCTCTTCTAACCACAAGTATGAGGTCTGGGCGCCACGTGCATTAATTACCGCCGGTGATTACTTCTAATGAACTAAAAAAATATCTAATTAAAGTTTGGTAACGTCTCAGTTTGTACTCGTTGATCTGCGCAACAATCATAGTCGCCATCTTTGTTTATATGAGACCCATATAT